TTTCGAGTGTTCTAAAAAACAGTAAAAGCTCATGTAAACACCACATATTTCACCATAACACGAAACAGTTATGTTAATGCCAAAGTGCGTGATCAGCTCAGTTTCTAAAGAAATTTTTTGAACACTTGTGGCTCGTTTTATCTGGAACAGCTGCAAAATCGTGTTTATATTATTTACTTAAGATCAAACTGTAGATTGATTTGCGAGTAAATGAATTATCTGGTATATCAACCATCACAATCTAATCTGTTGGAATTCAATTTTATGACATGTTGAGTCGGTATATTTTCAGGAAATTTTCAGACATATTCCTGAGGGAATTACTGGGTTTATGAATGTACTCATACATTAAAATTGGAGTTTGTTTGAACGATAAATGCTTGTCTAATGTTTGTTGCTTCAAATACAAAAAATTGATTAATTGATATATTATAGTAAAATCTGAACAGGGTAAAATCCTTTGAACTACTTTGTGAAGAGTAAAAAAAAAATTCGTGCGCGCGCATCGAGCTCAATCGCGATGGACTTGGGCTCAGATTTAAGTTTTTGTAAATGAGTCATAGATCCATTAACATATTTATTTGAGTTATTTTTAATTCTGTAACTGATCACTATAGATATTTTTAATTAGTCAAATGCAACAAACTCTCCATTTCAAATTTGTTATTAAGTTAATGGTTAATACCATAATTGATTAATACAGTAATAAAAAAAATCTGTATTATATCAAAAGTATTTTGGGTGAATATTTTAAATAGAGATATGAAAAATTTCAATTCTAATGGATGCATATATGCAATCTTTCATTTTTTTTTTTTTTGGTTTTTCACGACAAGAGTACAATATTTAAAGAAGTTTTGAAAGCTTATGATTTTAGGGTGATGAAAATTCTAAAAATAATGTAATTGTATCATCAGATTCGAAACGCCATGCAACCGTCACACTGTAATGCATTTATAGAGTTAACGAACGAACTTATCATGTTTTAACTCTGCAATCCGATTTCTTATATTCTTGTTCAATTTATATTATTTTATATTAGGTTTATCAATTTATTTTATATAATTTCTTTATAAATGACCATTCTACTTAATTATAATAATTGCGTTCTTACACAATCTAGGTTAATTAGCATTTTTGTTCATTTTAAATCTAGTTTAGTAATCTATGTTAAAAAATAATTACTAAACTAGATTTAAATGAAAATAACAAAATCACGTCATACCACCGCATCATATTTTTTTTACTGCCAAGTAACATAAATTAGATTGTTTTAAACCCGAATGATGGATGATATAATAATTATGAAGAGTAATACTATTAAAAATAATAGTATTATATAATATCAATCCGCAAAAATCGTTAGCCATCTTGATTATGTGGTATTAATCGAAGACACAACCTTCTACTATCTGAAAACCGATTTTTGCAGATATTTTCAACCAGGAAATTCTTTCAAAATATATATCAACATGTTAACTCTATAATAAAATTATATAGATCCATAAAACCAATTCATAATAGAATTTCTCGAGTATTATAAAAATACACATTAAAATTTCATGCAGACGCAACATATTTTGCAGCACAATACGAAACAATTCTGTTGCTCAATTTTCTATTAAAGTTATATTCAACACTTGTAGGTCGTTTTGATTTGTGAATGATAACATAAGAGTGCATTGCACAATTGAAATGCAAGTTTGTGTTTGAATTATTAGAGAAGAAAAAGATTTTACAATTATCCGATCGGATATATTAACCACCTTAAAGAAATGTGGCAGGGATATCGATAAGGTGAAATGTAGAGTTTGTAGAACTCTGCGTTGAGTTTGGTGAAAGCAAAATAAACTATTAACTATTAACTAAAGATAATGCGATGTTACAAGTCGATTGTGTGTGATATTAGTGAAAGCCTATCAAAATGCCTGCATCAGCTCAGTGCCAAATATCTATTCCGACTTTGAAAGGTCACCTTACGTCTCACCGCACCCTGTTATAAAATAAAATAAGTGGAGTCTTAATTAATAAAATTGACCTACAAAATTAATCATTTTAAATTGATTGCTCAAAATTTTTTGTGGACCAACTGCATGCGCTCGTTAGCCTTTTCGGACATCAGGAAACAGGAAAGACCGTATGACGTACTTCACGGTCCGCACAACACACCACTTGTTTCCACTTTGTTATCTCTCTCTCCTTCTTTGTTTTGTTTTGTTAGGTCAATTTATCGAAATCTTAAAGCTTCCAATCGATTAATATTAATTTGTTAATATTAAGATCTTAATGGTATTTGACCTTCAATTTCTAACATGCACACGTTTCTTTACATATTTTAGGGTATTTGCATTCCATATCAACAAAAAGACGATTTGTTTAAGAAACTGATAAGCCATTTTCATTACTAGTGGACAAAGCAATTGAAACTATTTTCTAGAATTTTGTTAAAAATATAGCACTCCATTTTTTGTTTTGAACAAAGTTTAATAGCGCTTCATTTTTCATCCATAAGTTTACCGGTTATACGTATAAGTTACGGGTTTAATGAAAAAAAATTACTATTTATATATCAATAAAAATCGGGGTGATTAATTTCTGGATATGGTAGGATAACTAATTATTCGAAGAAATGCAACCTGATTATAAGATAGAATCCCCGATTAAAAAGAACAAAAATACATGCAATAATAAAAATAAACACGGTGCACGTAAACTAATAAGTTTTAATCTTTAAAGCTATGACTTTTTCTTGCAATTTGACTCGATATTCCTAACTGGATTACACCATTAGAAGCAATTAGACCAGTTGTGCGAACCAAAAACAATAGTTCCTAAATGGACAACAGCTTACTTATTATGTAATATTGATACATATATACATTTTGTAACCTAAGGTACATTATTATAATTTAAAGTACTCGTGTATGCGCCGATCAATTTTTATTTTTGGATATTTTATCGATGTATAAAATGAATCACTATCTCGGGAGGCTACACATTTCACTTATTTTAAAAAGGCTTGACACGCCATTGATGTAAGAATTACTTGACAATGACCAAATGTTATTTCGACATTACAAACGACAAAAACTTTTTTCTTTTTTGTTAAAGGGTTTACGAACGACAAATACAACTTTGCGTGATAAGTATTTACCTTACCTTAAGGCCATCCACCATAAAGTTTTGTGCGTATTTGTACACATTCTTTACAAATATTTCAAGATGAGAAAACCTAAAGCTTTTTGAATACCTATTGTGTTAGGTGGCTCTCTCTCTTTTCTGTTGCAGAGGACACGATTCTTCTCCTATCCTTGGGCTTTATCTACAGATGTCATTGGCCTAGCCCATAAAAAATCTTTGACCATAAACATAACAACACGAAATTGGAAGCCCAGTTTGATACTTAAAAGTTAAAATCAATTTCAAATAGCACCATATTTAACGGGATACAAAATGATAGCTTCTTTTTGAAACATAAAATGACAACTAGTTCTTTACAAAACATCAAAGCAATTTTTTAAAAAAAATCAACCTAAAATTACTATTGTTTTTCCTTTTATAATTCAAAGTGCTTATTTTTTTTTTTAATTAAAGGGTTTACAGCTAGATATGTGTTTTTTACAGCTAAATATGTTAGTTTATGCTAATAACGTGTTAATGTTATTATCTTAAAACGTAGAGCAAATACCTACAAGAAGTCAGGAAATGTTGACTCTATTAATACAATAAAGCTGTAACTGGATTGTGAATTTTATGAATAAAATTATGTGGAATGAAGAATTTCATGAAATTTCACAAAATTGTTACTATTTATAAAGAATGGAAAAACAAAAATTTTCCATTTATTCCATTTATATTACAAAGGAAAAACAAATATTTTTAAAAAATCATTCCACTTTTAAAATGCTGAAAAATGAATGGAATACAATTTTCATTTCATTCCACATTTTTTTATTTCACATAAATTTATTCTTTTTATTTTAACTATTCTAACTAAATGTTAACGTACCTTTTACAGTAAGTGTTATTTGCGTTTATATGAGTGAGGTGAAATATCTTGTTCTCATCATTAAGTATTCGAAGTTTGAACTTTAATCTAGTAGTGTCATCTTCTTTGATATTCACTCTTTTTATGATTCCAAAGTTCCAAACCATCTTTTGCGTATTAATATGGATTTATATCATGAGTCACAGCTTTATAAAATAAATGATAAGAAATCTCTCTCACACACACATTTTTAAACTAGATGGTGGTAAAGGAAGAGGGGCTAAAATGGAAAAAAAGACATGAGAAGAGAATCTTTCACGTGAGAATGCAGCTTTTTATTATTTGTATCGAGTCTCTGCTTCATGCTTAAAGTGTCTTGTGATTGTTGATGTAGACAATAATGTTTTCTTTATTGAATTTTTCACTACAAAATAGCCACTGCAAAATTCAGGTTTGAAATCTAGCTAAGTTTTTCTTTTCTGCTTGAAAAAAATATAGTTGCAACCCAGATAGTTGATGAATTGTTTACAATTATATACTAGTCTGATACATTTTATTTTACATTTCATATTCATATTTGTTTTCTTTATATACGTGGAAACTCGTGAAAGAAAATATCTTACCGACAACAAAAAATAAAAAGGTGAAAGAACGAGACAATGGGTTAGCCTGCATTCCTCGAATAAATCAATTTACCTTTTTTAAAATTCGAGTAAAAATCGTGAATATGAATACTCTCAAAGTCTCAACAAGTCATTCTTTAGTAGAAAATGGTTTATTCTTGAACCAAGTTACCAACTCTTTTTCAACTTTTCCATCATGAAAAAAGTGAATTAAGCGGAGATTAATTTAAAGATATTACATAATTTCATAACTCGACTACATAACTGGACCGGGAAATCGCAAACTAAACCAATCGAAACCATATTGAACCAACGACATGGACAAGAGACCGGTACAATATTATGATTATAACCCTAGAACAAAGCCGTAGAAGAAAGAGGGTTACATATTAGTGGCAGAAGATAACTTTGAGCTCTCTAGGAGAAGAACAGTCATGCATAAGCGAAGGACTATCATGAGCAAATGTAATAGTTGACGGACACGCGTGCTTAAAGAACAGAGAGTGGGTCGAAGCACGACACGTCTGAGGACTATTGTAATGATTCCGACAACACAACTCATCCGTACGGAACGCCTCACACCCACTCTTACAAGCCACCACGTGTCCACCGTATCTGTCCCTGAGCTGAAGATGAGGTGGACACGTTTTCAGGAGGTCTTCACGGCAGCCAACGACGGGACATACACCTTGGCCTTCATGAGGAGTCACAGTCATCGGAACGTTATAGCCGTCGACGAGAGAGACGCCGTAAGATGATAAGTCTCTGTGTCCTCCGTGGTGGAGGTCGAATTGAGCTAAGGAAGCTGGAGTTTGGCCGCCGAGTCCGTTGCATTCGAGGCGGTGGCCACAGTCTCCGGTGACGCAGGAGAGGTATCCGTTGTGGCCGGAGCAGCCGGTTCGACCCCAGATGCGTCCGGACCAGTGGGTGGTTGGTACGGAGAAGGAGCGGTGGGTGTTGGTTGGGAGAGCGAAGCCACCTTTCTCGAGGACGGGATGGCCTGCGTTGGGCTGAATGGCTGGCCAGACGGTGAAGGGACAGTGGTTGACGACGGTGAGGAAGAGACGGCCGGTGTCTGCGGCAGCGGCGGAGGAGATGAGGAGGAGAAAGAAGGAGGCGGCGAGAGGAAGAGAGGTTTTAGCCATTGTGTTTTTTTTTTTTGGTTTTGGTTTTGGTACTCTATGTGTGAAAGATGTGACTCTGCGACGTGTGTTTATGTATAGAGCTGAGTGTAAATTTATGGTGTTAGAGTGACGAAAATAGCCTTGGGATTTTTTGAGGTAGTTACACAAAGTTTTTAGCATGTGGGTTTAAGGAGATTGAAGGGTATACTTGGTAATTATTTTAATACTTATAATCACAAACTATATTGGTATTATATAATCTTATCAATATTTTTTGTTCTTACCTTCTGCACGGTTCTTTTTCTTTTTTGGAAATTTTGTTCGTACCGTGTCCATGTTGAATTTATAGAGTAATTGAAAAGTAAAAAAAAATTCAGAATCGTTTTTAAAAAATTGACGAACTTTTTAAAAGAGAATGAAGAAGATAGGTAGGTATGTTGAAGGATATGAGCGATCTTTATAAGTGTATAATTTTTTATCTTTATTTGCTTATAGATACAATGGATAAAAGCTTTAAAAATGATGACATTCTAAATATCACATTTAAGTTTGTTTTTAAATAATAAAGAACAAAATGTGAAAAAATATGGAAACTAAAATGCAACTACAGCATGAATGGTTAAGATCTAAGGATTTCACGGTAAAACACAAGACAAACTAAGGAGTGATACATAATATGATTTATCCATATTTCGAGTGAAAATGCGATTTAAAATGTTCCAATTTTCAAATTCAGTCCCGTGGGACCTCGTTTGTTTGGCCAGCCACAAGGCTTACAGCCTCTCGTTCTTACAAATCCACTACCATCTGGTTCGTCATTCTAAATCGCAATCCAACATTAGGATCGTGACGTTGACTTAATAAGTTTACAACCTTGTAAAGGAGTAAGCCATATTACAAGTTCACAACGAAGTGGTAACAAAATTTCAGTGAAACATTTTGAAGTCATCACATAGTAACAGACATTTACGTTAATACATTTAATGACAACACGAAATACAATCAAATTCACTATCCTCAAACTACTGCATAATTTCGTATTTTCATTTTAGCATCTCCGGTTATGCGTACCATCTATTCATCCCTTTATCATAACTTTAGAATGATCTTCTTTTGCCCTAATTTTATAATCGTTTTGGATATTGCCGGACTTGGTATATGCAAAACATATCAAGATCAAACTAAAGCACAATGATTCAAATCTCTCTCTTTCTCCTCCTTTGCATTTTCGTTTGTTTTGTTTGGAATCTATACAGTGCGTTTCCTCTTCGATCTTTTGCTTCTTCTTTGCCCAACGTCAGGAACTGGCTTGCTTGTGCTTGAAGCCAACGCTCCCTCACGAACTTCTTCTTCCTGTTCCAACACTTTCTTATTAAGTACGTATTTCAATCATTCACCTGATTCTTCATTACTGAGAGTTATCATTACCTCATCATCTGATCCTTCTTCTGATTCAGACTGTGATTCTAGTGGTTCAACTGTATCTTTCGCAACAGCTTTGTTCTTCTTGCTGCGTTTCTCTTGCTCTTTTAACTGTCTAAATCTGTTGTAATCCAATATAACATCATTCCTACTTGTAAGCATAATGTTACAAAACAGATATATTAAAGAGGTTTCATTTACCTTTCACCAGCATCGTCAGGCTGAGCAATAGATCTCTTTGCTCGTCCTGCGGTTATAATCCCGCTTGCGTTTTCGTTCACTGCAGGCGCTGCTCCGCCTAGTTTACGCAGCCATACTTGTTGTGCCGTGCTAAGTACATTATTTGTAAACCTAAACAACCATTTGAAAAAGGTTTATAAACATTAAGCAGCAGCGTAATGAAAAGACTTGATCCTACCATTATACACATATACAATTATATCACTGCATCATAATGTAGTCAGGTCATATGGTTCCTTAATTTAACAAAAAGCTTCATACTTCTGGAAATTTTAATCCGTATTATACAGGTTTTGAGAGTGAAGCCATCTAAAAATGTGTGCTCCTTGTACATATCTCTTAAAAAACTGAGCAATAATTTGTTTTATAGTCTATGTATATATGTGTAGAATGGTTAGATGAAAAGTTTAAAGGCGAGGGAAACAAACCAGTAGATGGATAATCCTGATGGGACAGACAACGCAAAGTATCCGATCATGAGTGGAAGAAACTTGAAAATAAGAAGTGTGTTCTTCTGTGCAGGATCGTCTGTCTGTCAAAAGAAATTAAAATTGAGCTTTAGAACTTTTGACAATTATATCAAAGCTGTTTTAGTTATAAAGAAAACAAAAAGAAGCTCGTGTGATTTTCTCACTTGAGGTGGCTTCATAATCTCCATTGACACATACTGGGAGGCAATAAGAAGAACAGGTAAAACAAGATACGCGATGGTGTCAGACCATCCCAATGGTGGATGCCCATCCTGCATCGACGTTAAACACCAATACGATAAGCTTCATTGCACACAAAAGATTCAGTTCCATGGAAAAACAGATTTTAGTATCGGAGATTGTATTCATTTAGGTTATAGCGAAAAGCTAAATGCTTTGGTTTTTTGTTTCTTCTCTCATTACCACAAACGGGAAAAGCCAAGATACGCCGGATCCACTCTGCCGAGCAGCAATACTTGTTGGTCCACCAAGAGAAGGAATCCAAAAGAAACCTTCTGTAAAGAGCCCCTGCAAGAACAAAACGTCTTAAGCATACAAATCTTACCAACTAAACTTTGTCAGTCCGTATCGAAACCAAGAGACACAGGGAAATAACATGTACCTCGTTGGCGACGTTGGAGAGAGCTTGGTATAAACCAATCCAAACTGGTATGGTGGCCAAAGTTGGCAAGCAACCTAACATCAAAGAAAAACAAGATATTTGTATATAATAAGCACACTTGATTTATATATAACCATGAGTAGTACTTAGAAAAAGCATAGAAAAGTACCTGCCAACGGATTTACACCAGCTTGTTTATACAAACGTGACGTCTCTAGTTGTATTCTCTCCTAGATATCGAAGAAAAACAGAACAAAACAGTCAGACTCGATAATCAAGAACAACTCTATAATCAAGAACAACAACTCATTTTCGAGCCAAGAGAAAGATCACCTGGTTGCCTGCGTAACGTTGTTGAATGGCTTTGATTTTCGGTTGAAGATTTTGCATCGCAAGCGTTGATTCAACCTACAGAATGAAAAAAAATCATAAGCTAAGGATTCCAAAACATAATCATTTGAGCAAAATGCTTAGTGAGATTGAGTCAAAAATGCAAAATTCTACTCACCTGTTGCTTTGTCAAAGGGTAGGTCGCTGCTTTGACGATAATCGTAAGCAAGATAATCGCAAATCCATAAGCGTACGGCACATGAACAGCCGTAAGTCCATCTTTCAAAATCTAAAAACCCCAAATTCAAAACTGAAACTTAAGCTACGAGACAATTCCGGAATCAGCTGCTTAGATTGAACACATACAGAGAGATCAGAATCAGCTGATTAAAATTACCTTAAGCACCAATTCCATACCATCGGAGATAAAACCGAACCAGCCACCACTCTTCTGCACGGCGGAATCAGTTGAAACGGCAGCTGAATCAGCACCGACTACGGCGGCGTCGGCTACAGTATAGAAGAGAGACTCCGCTCTGGTGAGAATCGCTCCGATGTCTACCGACGAGCCCAAGCCATGGAAAGGAGGAATCTCGTTCAAGCTGAACCGTACCGTAGTACTGAACAGCTTATTACTCCGGTACGGTAGAAATTGAACGTTACCGCCGTGACGGGAAGACAACGACGGTTTAGTCAAAGGCGAACCGAAGAAGGAAGATGGAGACGAGACTAGAACTCTCGCCATTGGAGGTTCCTGAAAGAGAGGATGAGAGGAGGAGAAGATAGAGATTTTATTTTATTTTATTTTTGTGTTTTTGTTTTTTATCTTTTAAAAATAAAAATGGAACGGAAATGGAGACGAGAAGCTGGTGTGATCGCGCGTGAGCGTTTTTTTCATATGGTGGAGATTACCTCCAATAATGAGTGTCCACGTGGCATTGTATCCAACGTGGAATATATCGGTGCTCTCTTATAGTTTGGGCTTTGTTAAGCCCATTTATCTGTAACGTAACGAAAATTTGACTTTTTTTCGGGTAACGGTTTTTTTTTTGGAAACGGAATTTGAATTTTTCTTGTTCTTTTTTCGAAATGGGCCTTTGTGTTGTTGGGTTTTTTCTTTCCCTCTAATTTAAAATTTGAATAGCCTGTCTAACGGATTAAAAAGAAACGGAATCGTTTTAATAGGAAGAAGAAGAGCGTATCTTGTTGAGTTCTTCTCTACCTTCCCATAAACACTATGCTTTTTTTTTTGAGAATTCGATAGATATACTCATAACGTGTGAGAAATCTTTTTTTGAAAAAGGGCTTTGAATTAAAATGCAAGAAACAAAAAATAATACAAAGGATATGAGTTTGTGGTCATATAGTTCAGAAAGTTCAAAACAGTAAAGAGCTCTACAACAAAGTAGAAACTTAATAAGAAGAAAGAGGTAGAGATGGCTCTCTAAGAACTTTTAAGATGGAGATCTGCGGCTTATACAACCGCCACGACCCCTATTTATTCCTTTCCCTACCATAGTCCATTGCATCTCTTGGATTTTTTTGTGTAGGTTTTATTGATCTTCCTACTCGGGTCACCCATCTCAAAACAAGTATCTCCAAAGCCTAAAGCGGCAAAATGATTGCTACCAAAGACCTTCCCTTGAGACATTGCCTTTTTGGGCAATCCTCTGCGTCTAATTCCACTTCCACCATTAGCTTAGCCTCACCCATTTGAGTCGGATCTAACCTTGGCTTATTAGTGAGCATAGGTTCCCCTGAACCTGATGCTATCCAGCTAATTCCCCAATCTGAGTATAATAAACTCGGGAATGTAACCCAGACAGGAACTGAAGTGATTTCAGGTATCACTAAAGAAGCAGCAGGAGTCCCAAGGAGCAACAAACATAATGCAATCATCAATATGCCATAGCCCTCTCTCTAATACCCAAGCTCTA